TGGTGGTTGTGGTGGTACGGCCTCTTCCACCGTCGTTTATTTGCATCGTCCATAGTCGCTGCTGTGGAGATGATGATGGTGTTAATGATGATGATCTAAAAAATCCTGAAAAAAAAATAAAGGTTCAACGACTAGTTCTTCAGTCTGTTTCAATTGAGGAGAAATTTCTTTCTAGCTTTTTTGTTCTGAAAATTTTTAAATGTCTTTTGTTGCTTTGTTCGTGGTATATTTTTTGTTCCAAAAAAAAAAAGAAGTTGAAGTAGACGTGCCTCACATACATATAGCATTTTCCTTAGTCAATTAAAGATTTTGGAATTTCTTCAACAACATTTTTTTTTTTTGTAAGCAACATTTTTTAGCTTAAAGTATGTTTTACAAGAACAATATACAATAAAATGTATCTTATCTTCCAACTACAGCTATATAAATAAGTGCTTTAAAAGCGATTTCTAATATTTAGCTCTCATTTTCTCTAAAAACCGGTGTTCTATATTTATATATATATATGTGTATGTGTGTGTTTGTGTTTTTCGGTAAGTGAACAAATGAGTGAGCGAGTGATTTAATGACTGACTGTTTGTTTCCTTTGATAGCAACAAATGATACCACTTTTCATAACTGTTATTGGTCTGCATTTCTTTTTTTATTATTATTAATTTTTTTTTTAAACGATAAATGATGGTATAGAAAATTAATTTTGAAGCATTTCAACAAAACTTGTAAGCAGCATAGTTATTGCTGTTGCTGTTGTCGTCGGTAGTGCTGCTACCGCTGCTGATGCAGATGTTGTTGATACAGCACACTGGTGATGAGGTTGGCGATGATGATCTGGATGATGTCAATGAGTCATTTTTAAAACAACTTTGCACTTCCACTAACCTATCCGTTAATCAAATATATCTCAACGAATAGATGTTTTGGTTTAAGATGACGCTAACTGCACTTGCTTAAGCAATTAGTAATCAAGAAAAAATTTGGATTTTTGATGCTTTTTGGATCTACATTTACCTAATCGCTGTATCGCTTCAGCCTTAAATTCTAGTCTTGAGTAGAACACTGTCTATCGCTTCTGTAGACTATTACTATTAAAGAGTGATAATACATACTGTTATGTTACTTTTTTCAAATGACAAATAATTGAAGTATTTAGATTTCTTTCTTTTTTTTTTTTGTCTTTTGCTATAGGTTTCAATGGAAAAAAAAGAGAAGGTTCCTGTCAAAAAAGCAGGGCAGATGTTTGTCCTTCCAGTTCTGCTTTATATATCGTGCTTATCCTGATCTTTTTATTGCGACTGTTTTTGCTGTTGCTGTCTTCGTTGTTCTTCATCGGTTCTTGATCTGTATTCCTCAGTTCAGTGGGATTTTTTTCTTTTTTGATTTTATCCTTTAACACTGAGCTTTTCCATCGTCGGAACCTGTGATAAAAGTTTATATTGGTTGTATCATTGAGCAAATAGTAGTGCATTAATATACACTTTTTTGGATCTTTTTATTTTCCTTGTTTTAGTCTTTATTCTTTTTGTGTTTTAAATTTTTTTTGCTGATCTGCCTAGATTAAAATACC